AACTTCCTAGACGGCCTACGACCTTGCGTGTTCAACGTTGACATTTGATTTGTTACCTCCTCCTCTCTACACACCCAAAAATCTCAAACTTGACACGACAACATGCTTGTCGATTCTTATCGCAATGGCGGTGACTGCAGTTTGAACTGTACCGCTGCTGCTGCAGCAATGATTCTCGCACGATGAAACAGAGCGATATGACCTCATTGATGATTTATTTTCATTAGGTACGTACGTAGTTTTAAGGTTTCGACATGGTTCGCAAATGCACGACGACGACTAAAGAAGGAGAACAAGATGACGTGGTCACCACAAAATCGACGTGGTGATGATCCAGATGATGACGATTTGGCGGATATTGACGCTATTGATGGTCTCGATGGCATGGATCGCCCTTCTAGCTCGATGTCAGATATGTCGGAGAAGAAAGAAGGTTTGTTATTTTTTCTCCTTTGACAGTTTTTTTTTCACCCAACAAAACGTAGTCATCACTATGAATGGATCTTTCATTGAAACTCTTGAAACCTTGGAATTTCGATTCTTTCGGCGATGTAATGTATCAGTACGATAACAATAGCAACTATGAAGAATTTATTGAAGTTTTGTTATGATGTTATGTAAATAGTTTTATTGATCCAAAATTGCGTAGCTTTCTACCTACACGACTCCTTTTGAAATTTAGCCTTCTTGACTATTTTACTTCATAAGAGGGCAAAACATAATCAGAAATCTATTAATAATGATGGATTTTCATATACTATAGTACAACATTTGCTTTTGATTAAATTTTCCCTGCACTTTTGATCCTTTTTTCGATCTTTTGTTAAATGTGAGCTTTGAAAACATACAGATCGAAACAATTGCGCCAAGGTTTCAGTATTAATCCCGCTTATTTTGATGTGGCGCGGTTGTAATGTTTTGAACAGTTTGAGCTTTCTTTTGCAGTTTGTTTAGTCTTTGTAAACTGAAAGAAACATAGTTTATGATTCCTCCCTCTCCTCTCCCCTCCCTCTCTCTAATATCACCTATTTCAAATTCCTTGATGTCCTTGAAAGTTGAAAAACTCGAGAAAAATTCCTGTACTTTAGCTATCTATCTGTCTTTTCCTAAAAACCTACTGATTGTAAAACAATCTTGCGCTTGTAAAAATGTCATTTTCTTGGAACTCAATAACGCTGAAGCCGTAAATCTTTCTGATACAATGAATTTCATAGCTAATTGTATTTGTTTTTCCAGAAGTGCCTGTAACGCCCGTAACAAACAACAATCTAAAAGATGGTTCAGACGTTAGTACACCAAAAAAAGCTCCAGGAAAAATCTGGTCAATCGCTGACACGCTAGGGGAAAGGTCTGATTCGACGAAAGCTGAAAATGAAGCTGGAAGTTCAAAGAAGGTTTGTGTCGTTTAAGGATTGCTTGCAGCTTGTTTTGTATGTATTTTTAAATGCTTCTTTTTCGTTGCAGGACTCACCGAGCACTGAAGAGGACCCTGCAGCTGTAGCACAACTGCAACGAATGATTGCTTTGTCCAATTTCCAATTTCCTCCGCAAATGTTGGCAGCTATGGCACGACCTGGTGCTATGCCACCGATGCCATTTTTGAATCCGCTGGCGCTGATGGGCTTCGCTGCCCAACAACAACAACAACATCAACAACAACACCCTACTATGATGAATGGTAAGTCTTTGATAACCTTAGTCTGGGAAGGGTAAATTATGT